AGAAAGTAAGCAACTAGGATAGGAAAAAAGAAAAAAAAAAAAAAAAAAAACAAAACAAAAATGCAAAAATATTTAGCTTTAAGAGGGTTTACCCTAAAATTAAGGAATGCTCGACCTCGACACGTGATATGGAAATGGGCGAAATCGCCTCTTGATATCACTAACTATCTTGAATATATCTGATCATGTATTGCTGTTGAAACAATGAGTATATGCTCATATATGACAAGGCCATATAAGATTTTTATTAAAAGCATGCATGTAAAAGATATTTTGGAGCAGATAAGATACTTTTATGATTTAATATGTTCATCTTGTATATGGTGAGGCATTTATGTCACACCTGATGAGATACTTGTAATTATGACACTCTTGCAAGTCTCTCCCAAATGTCAAAAATGACTTTTGGAACTAAGTTGAGAATTGGCACTTCATTTGTTACTTCTGTGAAAATACAAAAAAAACATTCACTAATGTGCTGAAAATGACACATGTTGGAATAAGTGAACAAAGATGTCCATATCAATTTTGAGTTGTGCAAAGTTTTTTCAGTCAGAACTGTCAAGTTGTACCATCAATCAGGATCTGCCAATTATTACTTCCAACCGAGGAAGAAGAAAATGATATTAAAATTGCAGCAGTTTCTTCACATCCCTGCCACTCAGAATTGGTTTACTTCATAATGGGAATCATGAGGATGGCCCAATTGTGTAGAAGCCTAAAGCTTCAGAGTGTCATACTGGTTCTCAAGTCCAATAGTTCCATAAGCATACAGCATATTAACATATACAGCCTTTCAAAACATGGTAAAAGTAATTAAGTAATGTATGGCTTACTTCATGAGAAATTGCATGCAAGCCATTATGCAGGATTATAACCAACATTAAAAAGAGCAGTAAAACCTTTTCAGCCTGAAGAATGCAGTACTTGTAAATTATAAATCAAAAGGCCATGAAGTAATTGTTTTTCATACCATATGGCCATACCATCTAAATTAATGGAGACCCCATATCCCATATGCAAATGCTACACTATACATTTCCAGCAATACATATTTTTTTTAATGAAAGCATACATGCTGAGTGTGTATTCACAATTTATGAAAGTTCTTCATGAAAACCATGTACTTAAACTAGGTGTACTATTCATACAGGAGTCCATCCCGCAAATTGTATAATTCTTTTATATAGAACATATATGCTGCCCTGGTATGTTTAATATATGAATAAATCTTACATGGATCATATGCTCAAACCATATATACATGCATATTTCAATACATGATAAATGTATGAAATTATAAAGCACAGATAATGGCATATAACTACCATACATGATCTTTCCACATGGGTATACTGTCCATATATGCCATGTCATATCTATGTATGGTGAGATTACCTGAAACGCCTAAAAGGGTCCATAATCCATGACCAGGGCTTGGTACCCCTGCTCTGCTACCCTGTCTCCCTGACTCTTAAGCCAAAATACACTGACCTCATGCTATGTTTTACTTACAACCATAAGACTTGTCTTTGGATATTCACCACATATCAGACATGATGCCATTAGCCCATTACACATAAAGCTGTAATGCAGGTAAAATATTTATATGCCATACAATTGATAATATATAAATGAATATATATATGATCATACATGACCATACACCCTGTCATATATGGAATTTTCACATGGGTTTTCAAAGGTCAAGGACCAACCCTGCATATGATGATTGGCTTAGTGTAACATCACTTTGATCTTCAGTAAGTATGTGACTGTCTTGCAGCAGAGGTATAAGATGTACAGGGTCTTGCATAACCTTTTGCTAGGGGGGTACAACTTTAAGTACAAATAGGACAATTGTAAGTTATATATCAGTTTAAACCTTTATTCAACCTGAATGCAGTAATGCATCAGTATTTTGTGTGACTGCCATTGGCTTCATGTACAGCCCTCAAATGTTGAGAGTGTAATTTCAACAAATTTTCAAAAAGTTATGCTTCATTTTTCATTTAATGGAATAACATTTTGGAAGTTTTGCAGGACAACCGCTTCAGAATTTCAGTCAGAACCAGGCTCACTAATCATCATACTTTCTATTTTTTCCTTAAAGCCATTATTGATATGGTATCATCACCTGATTAGCTTTCCACACCAATTTGAAATTATTTTTTGCAACTCAACTGTAGCTTTTTTTCTTTGTCTTTTCCCACTGGTCTCCATCACAATGTTATTCCTCACTTGAGACAGTTTTTCCAGCCTGTCGTCATAAAATTTTGTAAAATGAGATTTGTATCCTTTGTTCCAGTTGTCAGTAACTCAATCTCTCACTGTGATTCAGTGGTGAGATATTCACTTTCAATTGATAAATTTTGCACCTGCTTCCCTTGCTTCTTGATAGGTGTATGCTCAAATGTGGTCCATCACACATTGCCTTTCGTCATCACCAACCACCCCAGCGATTATAATTTTCAATGACAAATATGAAATCAGAATAAAATTAGCTTTAAAAATATGTATAACACTCATTTTTTATGATCCATAATTGTTGTAATTATCCCCCTAGCAAAAGGTTATGCAAGACTCTGTACACATGGTCCAAAACATGAGTTAACTCTACACTGCATGGTGTGCCAGATATGGCATGCTCTGCTTTGCATTGAAAAACATTACCATACAATAGGAAAACCAAAATGAAAGGAGAATTTTTCCTTATTTTTCTCAACATGAAAAAATATGCTAAAAAATGTTTTGTTACATTAAAAAAAATCATGCATTGTAGGGTTAACAGCATGATGGAAGCACAAAATTGAAGCTCAGTGTTTTATAATAACTTTATAATTGGGTATCATTAGCAGGAAGGTATGACCTGTCCTTCATCATGGTGCATAATGTATTACTTGATGGAATACTTATGGAATGCTGATAACATTCTCCAATCAAGCCAGGTTCAAACTTTCATTAATGCCCAGGAGGCCCAATACCATAATGAAAAATGAAGCAATGACCATGTCACAATGACCATATGACTGCAATGGATTTATATTTGTTTATGAATTTTAAGTTTGAGGATCATTCAAGGTTTCCCAAAATATCTTGTGCAGGGTGGATGTGATGAATTCTGACCCTGTCATAAAGTCCAGCCCCTATCATCAAAATTGGATACAACAAGAAATCCATCCTGCTCTTTTCAACCCAATTAAACTGTCTGCTCTAAAAACATGAATGGAATAAGACAATGCATGCATTTTCCACTTGAATGGTATAGTCATTAATTTGAAAACATGGGCAAGGGGACAGATGATAGGAGTCAGAAATTGTCTGTCTTACCCTATAAAATGAGGAAAATCCCAGACAGCCAAACAAACTAAAATTCCAACACCCTAATAGTGTGCTGCTGAAGAGGTGAAAGCTATTGATGAATGATGTCATTGCAGGAGAGATCTCAAAGGAAGAGCGTTTGCGCTTTGGGCATTTGAACATGGTTGGAATGGTGGGGAGCATAGACAATGACTTCTGTGGCACAGACATGACAATTGGTACAGACTCTGCTCTTCATCGAATCATTGAGGCCATTGATGCTATTGCTGCCACAGCTTACTCCCATCGTAGAACATTCATCATGGAAGTCATGGGTCGACATTGTGGGTATGCACTCATTTGTTCCTATCTCAATTTCAACATTCATGGGTATGATGTAAAATGTAAGTTGGCTGTTCTGTAGAGTACAGGTCAAATCTTATTGCAACAAAAGTATTTTTAAGACTTGGCCAATGGCCCATAGTAATGTACTTTGTATATCTTATTAGCACAAAATTTTAATTGTAGCAGAAATCATTTTGATAAGATTTAACCTGTTTTAAATATTAGTGTTTTTCAGGAGAAGAACACATTAATGTTCACTTAAAATATTTAATGATTGTGATGATGCTTTTTTGCTGCATGGAAAACTTCTCAAAATCCTCATTTCACTGTGCTTTACAAAAGAATATTGCCAGAAATCAACTATGTGAAAGGGCTTACCAGTAACTGTATAAACTGAATATGTTCACATAGCAGGCATTGCAGGAGCTTGGTTTGCCAAATACTTGACTGACTATTTTGCTCAGAGAACTCTGTTTCAAAGGATTCCAAGTCCCAATAACTTGAATTTTTTTTACCTCTTGTTTCTATGGGTACAACTATTCTGCCAGTGCCATAGCATTTGTGTTTCCCACAAATCATTGCAATATCATCCATATTTGTTTTGTGAGAGCAAGGTGATGAGTACTTCTTCAAAATAAATTAGATATTGAAAATGGACAGGGGACTCCTGTACCCCCTTAATGACTGCTTGCCTCATTCTCTAATGTAAACCGAAGGAAAATCTGAAAAAAACTTTGAGCATAAAAAAATCTGTATTGATTCATCAGCTGATCATTTGAAAAGAGCTTGTGAAAACCATCAGCAAGAAAGAATGAGCCCAAATAATGGATTTCAAGTGACGAGAAGTTAGATATGACTTGGATGATACATAACCCCAGGGTGAAGACATTTCCTCCACTCCAACACCAGCTCAATCATCTCTTGCCTATTTTCATTACCTGAGCTCTTTTGCTTATAACCTTGCCATAGCATGATAAATTAGTTTTAAATTTTGGAGATGTGTTTGGAATATCATATACTATGCACAGTGAAATTTTCATAAATATTGTTTCAGTGGGAGTGGAGACATACAGGATGTTTGTGTTTAAACGCAACATAGGAAATATTTTGCCACCTGTATGTGGAGTACCACTAACGTTACAAGGCCCACCAGGTTGCGTGTCTGCAAAGAAATATAACTACACATCAGTGATTGTATTCATTCTAACAGATATACAACTCACTGGGCTTTATGGCACCTACTGAACTCCATAAACTGACAATAAAATTTTCCCTATTTTGTGTTTAACCCTTTAAACCCTAGCTTCCATTCCCCTATCCTATGTTCCTACTCAAGGTTCCTGGGCGATTTTTCGCAAAATTGGTTCGTTTGCACTAATATGATATAAACAGATCTATTGTGGTTTTCTGACCAGAACAATAGTCGGAATGTCTTCCTACCTTATCTCCGGTGATTTGTTGAGCTGTTTCCTGGCAAAATGCCATAGGAACTGCCAGGCCGGAAAACCGACGTAACAGGTTCAAAGTGTTAAACACGAGACCTTAATCATTTATACTTTTTGCCATATCTTCTAGTTGGGGGTGGGAGTATAGATCCTGCTCGTCACCTTACAGCTGCCTGGCCCAAAGAGAGGGCGATTTTAGAGGGATGAAACTGTATAGAGTGTCATTTGAATATCCTGGTTCATCTCCGTTCCTGATTGACCTTAGCAGGCTATGTATGGCCCACCTCAGGGCTAATTATATTTTATCACTTCAGAGTTTCTCCTACTGAACTGCCTTGCTTGAAGATCTTGATTCCTGATCGTGTTTCCATATGTTTGTCCCCTCAGCCCAGTCCATCTATAAACTATTTTAGTTGCTTACAAACTGACCTTAGCAATTGTTAATACTTTTCTTGTTATGGGGATGCTCTTCCAGGTACTTGGCTCTTGTAGCAGGCCTTGCTTCTGAAGCTGACTTCATTTTCATCCCTGAATGGCCTCCTGATGAAAACTGGCCTGAAGTCATGTGCAAGAAACTCTCACAGGTAAGGTGAAGACTAATCTCCCTCAACTGTGGATCATATTAATCATCATCTTAGAGTCAGACAATTTTTAAAATGTATTTGTTCCATGTGTTTGTTTTGAAGAAGGTGAACTGCAGAACTTCTTGATACCTGTAATATTACTCTTGGATGAGGTTTGCTGATATTCTTAGACACTGTCAGTCTCTCTGGAAGTACTATACCCTTCTCAAATTCCATTTCTCTAGTGAGTTCAAGATGATTTGATTTTTCTTCAAAAGTTTGTTCATAGATTACTCTAAATGAGAATTTCAGGGTTCAGAATGTAGCAGGTTGAGGGAGTTGTATGGGTTGATCAAAAAGTTGCTTCACATTTATAAAGAGAAATTTCACCCTAGCTCAATTCACTCAATAGAATACATATACCACAGGTAGAAACAAATGAAGGCATAAGTCCTTGATTGGTGTGGGTGCCTAAGCTGTCAAACAACCTTGTACTTACAATGAAATTGTATCATTCAAAGGCACATATATGTCCACAATAACAAATTAGTTGGAAGATGCACTATGTACAAAATTGAAGTTTTAGTTCTTTTTACTATTCCCAACTTGAGAAAAACTGGTGCTTAAAAAAAATTTAGACTTTTTAAGAAAGTGGAGAAAACCTATTCAGTTTGGTGTTACAAAAGTGTACTGCCTTTCTGCTTTTTAATGTCATTTCATTTATCTTGCTGGCCATTTATGCTTCTAGAGCTCTTAAGAGCTCTAGAGTTCTCTGATTAAGACAATTGTTCCTCCTGTGTGCAAGCTTGCTCATTATGCTGGTGGCATTGGATAATGTGGCATGGCTTCGAAGCCATTCATGTACCAAAATTTGCACCTCTGGAACATGTCCAGTGTGATCCTCGTGTTGAAACCAGGCACTGCAGTAACAACAGAGTGGTTTGTTGCTCTACTCCAATGTTTTGAGATGCAAATCTGCAGGAAAAGCCCTGGGCTTTTGCATAAGGTGGTGATCCTCCAGCTCAACAATGTAAAGTCACACATGGCAGAGGACTACTGCAGCAATCAACATTTTGGGCTGAACAGTTTTGACCTGTCCATCATATGGCCTGGATTTTGCTCCAAGCAACCATCATCTCTACCACTGTTCTCTGAAAAGTGGTGGAAAGGCAGCAGACCCCTAAACTCCCATAGAACCTTCTGGCATGGAGGAATTCCACACCTAAGTCTCATTATTAAACCCTAAGGTCTCCCTTTTTAATCATCTACTTACAACTCAGGCCACTAACAATCTGTTACTAACTACCCCTCCCTTCACTCCCCCAAGTCCCTACATGCCCCACCCTATGAATGCCCACTGTATCTCTCCATATTCTATGCTGTTTTTTTACTTGATATTTCATCCTCCTCATTGGTTACCTCCAGGGACAATCAGCAATCACTGTGCTGCTCCCCCTTATCCGTATATATTGTCTTTTTGTATCTTTTTCTTTTCAGTCCCAATTAATGTTGACAATAATTGACAATTGACAATTTGCCAACCTCTCAATTTTCAATGGGTTGTCCCCTCCCCTTCCTGGTGTCCAATGTTTCACATCTGATGAAGAGATGTAATTAGCCAAACACAAATAACTTCTGTGCCAGGTCACATTGTTTGATGCCACCAGCACACGCAAGTCTATACATGGGTGGGACAAGTGTTTTAGTATGCAGGGGGATTAGGCAGAGAAATAAATCCAGAGGATTGCCATCTATGTGCCTGTCTTTAATTTTATTTTGTGACTTATTTTTGACCAACCCATCATGGATAAATGATGTTAAAAGAATCCTATCCACCTCTTTCTGCAAGTTGGTTAATGATTTGTTTTGCACTGTACCAACATGGAGACCTCTGACTAATCACATTTGCAGTGTCATCAGTTCTCTGATTCATCTGTTCTATCTTTTAGTCATTGGATTATTATTAATGAGAGTAAATACATAAAACACTGAAGCTATCAGCTAGTATGGATTCCATTCAAGTAAACATGCAAGTAAAGTAAACTTGTACATATGTTAATGAAAGCAAAGGCTTTGAGAAGCCAAAAAATGGTTCAGCAGAAAGAAAGTGAGAGACTATGTTAGTCAAATGCAAGATCCTGGCACAGAAGAATGATTCCAGAATGTGCATGTCTTACAACAGGATGAAAAAGCAAGAACTTATCCAATTCTTTGAAATGCTCTTTGTTTCATTTTTACTGGTATTCATGTCATTGTGCTTTCATTGAGAAATGAATGGAAGGAACTTGACCAGACTTCATAGATATAGTGTATTTTTTCCAGGGGAGAGAGATGGGGCAACGACTGAATATCATCATTGTTGCAGAAGGAGCAATTGATTCACAAGGCAACCCTATTTCATCTGAAGCAGTGAAGAAGGAAGTTGTGGTGCGCCTTCAAATGGACACCCGCATCACTGTCTTGGGACATGTTCAACGTGGAGGAAGCCCCTCTGCCTTTGATCGCATCCTTGTTTGTCCCCTTTTCCGTACTCTTCTTTTATTGTAGCCGAGCAATTTACATAAAGTACAATTAGTTTTTTGGATACAGCTGTCATTGTAGATTTATATTGCTTTACAGAATGTAGAGGACCATTTCATGTTCCATTTTAGATTGCTAAACATATTAAACATATTACTAACCAAATGAAAAAATGTTTCTCCCTAGCATCCCAATCATTCATGAGATGAAAACATTCTATGTATTTGCTAGGGATGGGTTATTGACCAGTCAATATGGTTAACTATGGTCAATTTTGGTAAATAGGACCAACTTTTATTTATTTTTTTCTTCGTAGTTTTTGCACCATTATATATGTTATGACTCACAAGTGATATAGTATGACTACGGATGGGAAGTTGACTGGTCAACATGGCCATTTTAGACCATTTGCAGAAAATAATGGTTATGATCATGAATGACCATGTTGACCAGTCAACATCTCATTGCTGAGATAAATTTAATGTTCATGCAATCTCTAGGGTAAACAGTAATGAATCATGTTTCATAGCTAGATTAATTTTTTTTAGGCATAGGCATAGGCATAACCCAAGTACTTGTCCCATGATCACAGACTTTGAGAATAATTTGATTGCACACACACTCTGCATCACTTAGGTGAAAGGTCATGGTAGTTTGAGCATTTGCTAAAATGTTTTCATACGCAACAAGTGCCACAGTCTAGGTGTTTGGCAGGCTGCATGAACAAATCTTAAAAATTGAACTGTCTCTTTGGTTTTAGTGCTGGGGGATAAATGACCACAGTTATGAGCTCTATAAAATATCTTAATTCACTGAATTAAAAAAATTAGTGGTCAATAATGGTCAATTAAAAGGTGGTCAATTGACTGGTCAATTGACTGCACCATCCCTTGTATTTGCTAATAACTATAACAACAGTTCCCAATTTTTTTTATGCACTTGCCAACTTTTTTTTTTAAACTGTACCTGGAGTTGCAGTTTCAGTTGTGTAAGTTTACAACCATTCTCTACTTCTCCTTTGAGTTAGTAATCCTTGTCTAAATTCCTCAATAAACCTTATTTATGTAAATTTCAGACAATCCCCTGCCATTTTGTGAAATTCCGTGAAGAGAATGTAGTCTTTCCTAATAGGAGAGCCATTTGACTTGTATGGTCACTCTAGTTGCTCTACACTGTATTTGTTTGGATTAACCCTTTATAGTATGATATATGAAAGCCTTGGAAAAAAAACTTTAACATAAAATATATGTGTTAAAGTCATAAAAAGGTTGTATTTTAACCATTTTTTGTTGTCAGGGAAATGATATATCATCGTTTTTAGCCTGCAAAATTAGCTGCATGGCAGTAAAAGGGTTAAATGTAACTGTCAAAATTGTTATTGCAATTTTGTGTTCTTGCTAAATGGGAGAAAAACTGCAACTGAAAGATGTAAGATGAAGATACAAGACTTGTAGGACAATATTGTTTAAATACATTATTAAAAAATTAAGAACTTTTCAATAAAATTAGACCAAAGTTCTTTATTGAACTATGGTAATGACAGTATTTTCAAAATGTTCCCATTTGCATAAATCTAAAAAAGTATTTATGCTATTCCTAATTGGGAACATCATTAACATTTCAGGAATATCCCATTTGTGACAGTGAGTCTTCGTGTATTATTCATAAAAACTAATCGGGTATGTTCCCTATCCAGAACACGTTGCAGTGAAGGGCTAATGCCAAACTTTAGAGCAGTAATATAGTATTCAGTTCACTAATGCCCAATGTTTGAATGGAATGAGCACTTTGTCTTTGATGGCTAGCTTTGCTGCTGGAAGAGACTGCTGGTAACAATATTGTAACTGTTTTAACGAGAAGAGAAGCACAGAGCATATGCAATTCCTCCAAACACTGTGGGTCCAGTGAGACTTCATTGATGAATTCAGACTTGAGTTTTAAAAAAAGTTATCTTCTCTTAGGGATGCAGGATGGGTGCAGAAGCAGTGATGGCCCTTTTTGAGATGACTCCTGAATCAGAGGCTGTTGTGGTATCACTGGATGGGAACCAGGCTGTTCGACTCCCACTTATGGCCTGTGTGGAAAAAACAAAGCAGGTAGCCCAGGCCATGAGAGAGAAACGCTGGGAAGAAGCTTGTGAACTTAGGGGAAGGTATGATGGCATCAAGGCTCCTTCTTTTCCTTCTCCCATTTCTGGCCACCATAAAAGTACACATTATTTTGCCTTAAAACTTTACACTGATGGCATTAGCACTTTCTGCATAACTTTCTAACATGGATATCAGAGCTTTTAATTGTCTGGAAAGATATAACTTAGACTGATTTTGTTTTAGCAATAATCAATAGAAAATGCAGGAGCATACATTGCATGGAGGAAAGAAAAAGCTATGGCTTCATCCTTTTTGTGTTCATTAGGAGTGATGAGATTAATATCTTGCTCCCATCTGCAGTACCCTTCTCTCCCAGCAAAGAATTGAAGATTAAGCTTTCCCTTTGGAAGCCTGAGCTTAAGTTCAGAATGAAACTGAAATAAAAAGAGCCTGATAACTCTTGAATAGTGCAAGTGACATGGAGATAGTTCAGAATAAAGCCCAGCTCTGAGTGATACTAGGAGGAAAGAGCCTTCTTGGTCTAGTAATTGGAATGCTGCATACAGGAAGGAGGATTCTGTTCTTGATGAAGATCTCATTTTGATTTCCCCATTCTGTTTGTTCATTCTTGAAAAAATTTAATGCTTTGACTCTTTCTCTTTGCCCTCATTGGTTTTTTGTTGTATATCCTGATTCAGGGTTTATTTTCTTCTTCCACCTACCCTCTCTCCCCTACCATAGACCCAATGTTAACTTTTTCTAGATCCTATTCTTGTTTGATTGCTGACCTCTACAATTGGCCCTGTTATAACAGATAGCAGTAATATAGGACATCTGGCTTAGTTCATGAATTTCCCCCACAGTTTAATCTGTAATTTAATTGTTTCTGTAAGTTCTTCCTGTTCCTGTTGCTGACTGCTGTGGGATTCCACTGCTGCCATCATTGTGACAGGTTTCACTACAGAAGCTAATCAATCAGTTAATGGCAAACAGATGAGGAAATCAACCTAATATCTGTATTGAGTCTCTTGTTTGGAGACACCCTAACCCCTCAATCACAGAGGCTCACTCCCCATTATAATCACCCTTGTTCTGAGTCTTGCGCATCATATCCCAAAAACGTCAGCAGGGTAGGGCATTTGTGGCTTTTTGTAATTCTGAGTTCCTTACTAATGGCTAGAGATGCAATGACATTTTTATCAGTATTGGCTGATATTCATGGAAAAATAGGTTTATCCCTATTCTTCATTGGAGGAATGGCAAAGCATGAGATGCACCACTGGTGCATCTCAAACTTTCTCCATCAGACTTGGTCCCAAATAAAACTTAACAGTGGAGGGGTTAGTGCCTGAATGTGTGATTATAAATGTNAAGCATGAGATGCACCACTGGTGCATCTCAAACTTTCTCCATCAGACTTGGTCCCAAATAAAACTTAACAGTGGAGGGGTTAGTGCCTGAATGTGTGATTATAAATGTAGGCATAGATATGGGTATCAGTATTGTTTTTTTTTCCAATATTGAAATTATCTGTAAATTGGATATCAGCCAAAATTCAGTATTGTTGCATCTCTACTAATGGCCTTGATGGAATGGTTGTCATGCAACCCATTATGAGCCTTATGAGCTCTTGCATTTACATATGTGATCCTTGAATAGAATGAATTGATTTGCATTCCTTTCAGGAATACTCATGGTTGCAAAGTGAGATATTACAGTGAAGACATTACCAAAGTCAGTAATGAAAAACAGCAACTTATTTCCTATCCCCACATGCAACAAAAGGCACATTCTGAATTCCACAAAATGTGGAATAAAAGAATTGCATGGTACCTATTTCCAGTTGTTTTGATGATGATGCTGATTTAACCACTGAGCCCCTAGCATCCACCCTCCCCTTGGCCCTTAGTCCAGTATCTTCCCCCATACAGTTGCATGCATTGTTAGACAAATGGAGTTGGTGTGGACCTAACATGCATTCAGAATGTACAGATTGCAACCATATGGGAAAACTGGTTCCCATAGATTTTGTGCTCCAGCCACACTGGAGGAATATTTTTTGGAGAGTGCCATTACCACAACTCAAGCATGTTGCTTGCAATGGGAGATCTAGGTGTTGATTTGAAGCCACCTTCAGGTTTGCATTTACCATCAAAATTAAATTTCCACAATTTTCTTGGTGAGATTTTGCCTCTCAACCTTATAGATGACATTCTCTGCAAGTGGAACTTACATTATTATATGGGAGTATTGCTGTTGTGAGCTGGAATGTCTTGTCTATCCTGTTTCTCTATGTCCTTATTGAGTTTTTTCTTTATTAGGAGTTTCACAAGGAATCTGGAGACATACAAGATGTTGACGAGACTTCGCCCTCCCAAGTCTGTTCTGGCTGCTGGGGATGCTGCTGTAAGTCTAACTTCATAGTCATGGGATTCACCATCTGTATCAAGGTATTAAGATGGTCTGACATCCATAACGAATTAATTTGATATGAACTGCTTTGGTTGAAGTTCTCTTAGACAGAATTCTGAAAGGTTTCTTTCTAAATGTTTCTGTAAAATTAGTTGAGTGCTGTTCGTTGTCATCATAGTTCTCAATTTGGTGGATATAGCCCTATATTTTCCCTTTCCTTGCTTGGAATCCATGCTCCAGTCATGGAAAATTCCATGTCTGGAAACTCTTTTCTTGGACTCATCATGCATCAGAACATCTTGTTAGTAGTCTTGACAGGGCATTAAAGGGAAGGTGGATGGGTTCATCCTACCCTGCTTTTTACAGACCATTCCCTTTTTTTGTGTTGGATTGTGAGTTTTTACTTATCAGGACACTGAGAAATTGCTTTCTCTCAAGTGTTTTATATTTATCCTTTGAGGAATGAGTGTTGTACTACATTAAAACTATTTCAAATCTAAATTGAAAGTCTTCCTGGCCCTTCCTGATGTCTGTAAGAAGAGTGAAGGACTTTTCCCATTACTTTTTGAAACACTCTTCAGACTGTGAGCTGTTGGTCCCTTGAAGGAGTCAAAGCTTCTCAAATATAAAAGTTTCAGCTCTGTTGAACATATTCTTTTCTCAGCTTTGAGCTTTTCCATGTTCCTGCTTGAATGTGTCAGGACAACCATGTAGAAAAGTGTGTAATTTTTTAAGTCAGTTGTAGAAGTCAAGACAGTTCAGGGTAAAAAAGTGCTTGCCATTCCAGATGGGAATGAAAAATGAAAAGGATGAAGGTGCAAGGCATGCTGAGGTTTTGCCTGAATTTTAATGCCTTTCCCAATCTTGAACATTCTGACATCCTTTCCCAGATGCTTCCAGTAGAAGCAGTCAAGTTCTCATGTTGACTGGGCTTCTTTCTCAACTCTTGTCACATTACAAAGCAAATATTCCAATATCCTCATTGTCCTGTTATACACTTTCTATCTTATCAGAAGGCCTCTTTCCTTCCCACCCTTGCACCAAATATATCTGCAGAAAAAAATAAACATTTTTCTCTCATAAGCTGCTACATAATATAGTAAAGCTTCTGCACCATACTTTGATGATGTCATGTTATTTTGGCAAAGCAGCAATGTAATTTCAAGTTCATATTTTCCAAGGAGAGCTAACATAATGTAAACAGCCTCATATTGGTTGGCTTCCTGTATTGGTTGACTGGGAATTTGGCACCCCTAAAAAAAAAAACCATGAAAGGCTCTCTTGCATATGCAGGCGAAGAGATTTTCTCTTTGCATTCATCAGTAATGAACACACTTCTGCAAGATACTAAACTCCCATTTAGCAGTGCAGTTGTTGTTGTTGTTGGCCTTGGTGAAGAGAAGAACCTAGTGCTTGATGGCTTGCAGTGACACTCTTGCTGAGTCCTGATTGAGTTTTTTTTTCAAAAAGCTTTAGATACCATACATCAGAAACATCCCTTGCATACCATTCCTATTCCTGAGTCCAAAACACAAGTGTTCTATGTTCAATAGGCTTTCAACCTATTTAGCAATATGAGTAAAATTCTTGAAAGCTTTCAGTTAGGCCGGACTAAATTATGCCAGCATGTTATTTTCCACAGTAAAAAATTCAGGAATTTGGCCCCTATTATAGATCAGACTACTCATATTGATCAACCCTGATTTTTGAGGTGCCAGATTTGGTATAAGAAAACAAAGAGGAGGTTGACCATGCAATTTTTGTACTTCACTCAGAGATGCTTTTTTCAATTCTTTTTTCTATTATGTTTGCATTGACTTAAATATCTGACACCTGTAAACATATTTGAACAGACAAGCACCAATGAGGACACTATTGTGTTTTATTTCCTGCCAAGCCAACAACAATATTGCAATAGACCTTTTCACCTTTTCTGAGTAAATTTTTTCATTTTCTACATTATTTATTTTCTCTCTCAACATGGTTTCATGGAACCCCTATTGTCTTGCTGGGAGTCTGTGGACCCCTAGGGGTCCACAGGCTCCCAGTTGAGAAACAAATATATATGTTGGCCTTTGTATCTTAAAAAGTTATTGTATTTCTCACCTCTTGTATTCTTCATGGAAATTAAATTGCCTCATTTTTATTGTGACTGGTTCATTGTTCCTTGGCAATAATTTTTTTTTTACTATTCCAGATGTAACTCTATAAGTTGATTAGGAGTCTTTAATATGCAGTTCCCAAAATTACTAAATTCATCACAGTACATCAGCACTTGAATTTCAAAGCCTCATTTATGGATTTAGAGTTGAATGGAGAAAATGGATTCAAGTTCACTTCAGACTTCTTGATCATGTCATGAAGTTAAACTTCTTCCCCCTTCGTTGGTAGCAATGACTGTTATAAAAGTAAACCTAAATTTGTTTAGACACTTTATATCAGTATTTTTTGTGGAAATGACAAAAAGTTCCATATGTGATTCAATAAACAAGTGGCTTCCTTTGCAAAGTGCTACAAGGTAGGGGGTGTAGCTACTGGTGTGCATACCACCAGATGAGTTAACCCTATAACTATCATGTTTTAAAGTGGATTCTGAATTTCTTCTGTTGGGTTTTTATTTTTCTGTCATTTTCAATAATTTTTTCCTGGAATAGAGAAACATTTTCGATAAAATGTTCGTAAAACCATTATATTTTGATTATAGCTGATGAAACTGAGACTATTTCCTGAAAATAAAATGGTATGCGTGAGAACAAAGCACGACAGCATTCACCCGAGTATACTTGTTGGGCATGACAGTCAAAGGGTTAATACATTTCCTCAGCTCCTATGGGAAGCTTTGATGAAACTTCTGCTCCTAATAGAAGCTGCACTGGTACACTATGACCTTTATAATTTTTGTATTGCCAGTTCTATCCCCATGCCTGTAGTGAGATATTCATTTATTGAAATGTTACTTCTCAATATGACTCAGTGGTTAATGAACAATCCAGGGTTTCCTTTTAATTGGTCTATTGTTGGCCCATTTGTTTATGAGTGTTGCCTGTGTTGACCGGGCATGCTTGAATGCTATTCAAAATCATCCATCACTATGAAGGTAAATGTTCCTTTTCCATAACTTTTCAAAATCTCACTTTCTCGTTTGCATTTATTGCAGCATGTTGAAGTGCTCCTTGGGGAGACTTTCCTCATCTCTCAAAAATGGCCAAATATTGAAAAACACTTACCCAAAAATATTAGCATGATCCTAACATTTCTTTATTTTCTTTTCTCCCACTTTTTTTTTTCTCTTATACATGGATTTCTCCAAACTCCTCTCATTTGGATCTTCTTGGTGACAGGAAAAGCGACAACGAATACGGGTAAGCTTCAGCTTGTTTCTATGGCACATACTTTTATCTTTCTTTTTGCTTTCTTCTTGCATGCCTTTTCCAATCATGTTAAAGTAGAAATATCAGCTTCATTCTTTCTGAGATACGTGTTGGATATCAACCTGATGTGCTTTCACTTTTTGTCAGCTTGTGAAGTGAGCTTAGATAAATACAGGGTGTTAAGAAAGTTGTGTCCCATCGCAATATGCCTATAACCTCAGCAAAAATTTAAAAATTAGGAAATTTTTTTTATACACAACAAAAAGGACAGTTAACTGATTTAGAATCACTTAATAGTTTTCAATATAGCCGCCCTTGGCACAAATGACAAGGTTCAAACGACCCATGAAAGCATCGACTGATTTTCACAAGTCTTCCTGTGGAATTCTCCCCTCATTCTCGGTTCATGGATAGTTTGAGAGAATCCAAAGAACAGCATTTTGTAGCTCATACTTTCCTCTTTTTTTTTTTCCTTCTCCAAATGCTGATGAAATTTGCATTGAAATATGGTGCACTTATGGTATGGATCTGATTTTCTGCTTTTTGTTCATTTTTCGCAGCACATTGATTGCATTTATGCTTTCATGCCACTCTTTTTCTTTTTCTGTTCCTTTTTAGCGAGGTACATTATTTATGTCTTCAGTGAGTTTTATCTCCAGCATGGAGAATTTCTTTCCTTTGCTAATTTTGCATGGACTGGGTGCATGGCATTAACTTTCTCTGGTGCCACCACATTTGAGGTTGTGTTCTTGCATGTCTCCAACAGTGCTATGAAAGGTTTTATTTCCTTACAGTAGTAGAAAGATTTCATTCTGAAAGTAGTAGAGTTACACTTTGATGACTAAAAACAGTAAGTTTTATGCATAATTTGAGTTTAGCTGATATATTATTATTATATGATTACAAACTAAATACAAAAGGGGAAAAGGTAATTTCTTTTTTTTTTTTTTTTTAGTCCATTTGATCATTAAATGAAATGAAAAAATAATCACAAAAGTAATGAAAAGCTTGTTAATTTTCAAGAATACAAATACTACAAGAAGTTATCTGCTGTGGTTTTTTCATTACTTTCCCATACCTGCATCTGACTTTGTGATGAGCCAGGTGCATATGATTGCATATGATTAACCCCTTTTGGATGGGATGCTTTGTTCATTCTTTGGTATGTCGCAGCCAATTTCAAGGGAGAATTGGATGACTGTATGATATTGATGGTCAAGTTTGTTAAGTTCTACTCTCCTAGGTGAAATGATTTCCCCTGAAAATATAGATTCCCAATATCCAAAATATCAGTATGTTGCTGTGTGTTTCTTTGATGGACTATTTGTTTATTTGATTTTGTTTGGACTAACATTCCATTTCTCAAGTCATGTTGTCTTAATTGACTGCAAATGATTTTCTGTGGTATTTGAATGTGAAGGACATGGAGTATGAAAAGTTTGAGGTTATGATTGGTTTTATAGTGTGTTGATTTTTAACTTTCAAGGCTTGCATACCCTTTGTATAAGTCTGGCCTGCCTAGCCATGTCTGCAGCTCATAATTTTTTCTCTGATGTCTATATGATCAAGAAAGTTTTTTTTAATCAAGGGGATACTTCATTCCTACCCCAAGGAAAAATGCTGGGAAATTATTATGCATTCTAATTCCAAATTTAAGTTTTAATCATTCCTGTGGCAAAATCTCTGACTAGGAAGTACAAAATACATATTTTCAGAAACATTGGATTGGTTGGGTTGGAAAAGGTGTGCAACTTTTTTATAACCCAAGTGACACTTCATTTCCCAGAACAGATTAGTTCTTTTGCTTCTTTGGCCAAATAGTGGATACATAGTGTGGTGGGACTAGTTCTGGTTTAAAGAGTTTTTGAAAGAGCTAATGAAAATATTAGCATTTAACTTGTGGGAGGAGAGATACTAAGGGTGTATTTCTTTGTTGTCACCAGTAGCTCTCCAGAAGACAGGACGCATGTGCATTTGTATCAGGAGAGTAGCTAGGAAAGAAACATGCATGCGTACTGTCTTCTGAATCGCTGCTGCAGAGAGCAAAGAAATACGCCCTAAGTAAAATCATGTAACTCCCTGACATGTATGCCAATGCAGCCAATCACCATGGTAACTATTACAAGGGGTGTTTATTAAGTTTTCAGAAACTATTTTCAAAATTGTTGAATCCAGTTGGATCGTCATGAAATCAACCATGAGTGATGTACATACCTTCATTAATCTTCAGGGTAAATCTCACTGTCGTCAATCCATTTCTGTCATCTGATAGGTAAAGAATGTATCCCCTTCTGGAAGAAGTCTGTCTGTTGTTGGAACCAAGTTGTGGCAGCTTCTTTGAGGTCTCTGTCAGAGGTGAAGTGAATTCTCTGTAGGTGATCTTTCACTGGACTGAAGAAGTGATTGTCCAATGGTGCCAAGTTGAGTCTGTAAGCAGGGCATTGCACAACAGTCCATGTGAAAGCTCCAAGTTTTTGTCGGGTGGTGAAGGGGAGGAATTGGGGAATTCATCTCTGACAGAGACCTCAAAGAAGCTGCCACAACTTGGCTCTGACAACAACAGATAGACTTCTTCCAGAAGGAGGGGATACATTCTTTACCTGCCAGATGGCAGAAATGCATTGATGACAGTGAAAATTGTCTTGAAGGTTATTGAAAGTATGTACATCACTCATGGTTGATTTCATGATGATCCAACTATAATTGTAAATTTTAAAAATAGTTTCTGGAAACTTATCAAACACCCCTTGTAATTTGGATTCACAGACCACATCATTTGCAGAGAAAGGGCTTTGTTCCTCACTGTTCAGTTTTGTGTTTTTTGGAAAGTATTTGGCAAATCAGTGTTAATGATGGCATGGAAAATGGGATCTTAACTAATTCATGATTAAATTGGTTTTTGATCCATTGAGATTCTGCATAACTAGATGATTATTGACATGAGGAAAGATCCAAAGATGAAACATTAGGGGAACTTTTAGGCTCATGAAACAAATTTTCTTTATCAACATAATCTCCTTTGACCTCAATACATTTCTGCTAAAAGGGGACAAGTCATAAATCAGGATGGAAAATTTTTTTTGGCACCCATAAATGCTTTGACACCTACTTGAAATCATCATATCTTTCATGTTGCTTTCTTTTGAGATATTTCCTTGAAGTTCAGGGTATTTTAAGTTTTTATAAAACTTAAATGAAAAATTTATTTATTTATTAAGTAAACTTAATTTTGGACATTTATATTATCTAAGAGAATGGAGGAGAATAGACACCAACTTTCAGCCTAATCTGGTCATTTTTACTACCTCAGTGCAGAAACTTTTTGAATCCTCCCATTTATTTATCTAAATAAATGAGAGGATTCAAACTTTTTTAGCTGTGCCAACAATTTCAGTTTCTTATAGACCTATCTGATTGGAAAGAAAGTTCTCGGAATTTCTTGAATATCCAGTACAATTTTTTTCCAGAGCATGCTGGAATGTTCTGCGTGTGTTTATAAGTAGGTCGTGTCCTTCAGCATACAACCGTATATTATTAGAGCCCTGGTGCTCTCCAGCCATAAACCAGCCCTACCCTCTTACTAAGGAGCAANAAGGGGATACATTCTTTACCTATCAGATGACAGAAATGGATTGACGACAGTGAGATTTACCCTGAAGATTAATGAAGGTATGTACATCACTCATGGTTGATTTCATGACGATCCAACTGGATTCAACAATTTTGAAAATAGTTTCTGAAAACTTAATAAACACCCCTTGTAATAGTTACCATGGTGATTGGCTGCATTGGCATACATGTCAGGGAGTTACATGATTTTACTTAGGGCGTATTTCTTTGCTCTCTGCAGCAGCGATTCAGAAGACAGTACGCATGCATGTTTCTTTCCTAGCTACTCTCCTGATACAAATGCACATGCGTCCTGTCTTCTGGAGAGCTACTGGTGACAACAAAGAAATACACCCTTAGTATCTCTCCTCCCACAAGTTAAATGCTAATATTTTCATTAGCTCTTTCATAAACTGGGTTGTAATAATTGTTCATGAAATTCTGAGAACTTTCTTTCCAATCAGATATTTGTAATTACTAATGACCCAAGACAATAACTGCATGGTATGTATATTGAACTGGCTAAACATATGGCTGTCATTTTATATGGTCTTATATGAAATTTTCATGTGAGTCTTCATTGTATTCATTGATAGAAGTTTTCCTTTTTCCTCATCTTCTTTTTCCTTTTTTTTTTCAAGCTATGAGAACTAATTTTCAGTTATTTTCTTGAGCACCAGAGTTTTCATACTAGAACTTACCAGGGAAGTCATTTTCACTACTTGCCAATTTTTAATGCACTTTACTCTGCTTGTTTGGCATACAAGGGCCTCCATAGTTTTTACTTTCCCTATCTAATACTGACATTTTGAACATACCAAATAAAATCTGGAAAAAGCAAATAAAATGTTACAGAATAATAGTTTTATACTACTTTACTGGAGCAGTCAAATTGACAGTTCTGGTGTTCAAGTGTACTCTCCAGTATCACCTTCCTCTATTGGAGTACACTAGCTTATTTAGCCCACATTTTTTGTGACAGGGTGGTTTCACAATGGCTGTAATGCATATTGGTGCTCCAGCTTGTGGCATGAATGCTGCAGTTCGCTCCTTTGTGAGGAATTGTATCTACAGAGGTGACACAGTGTATGGGATTCATGATGGCGTTGAGGGACTCATTGAAGGAAATGTGAGGGAACTTTTTATTGTGTTTATTGGATTGTTTATTTTTGCATCTGTCAAAATTTCTCCATGTCCTGAGCTTTTAGATTCAAGAGCTACATTGGGCAGATGTCACAGGGTGGGTGGCTCAGGGTGGAGCTTTCCTTGGCACCAAACGCACTGTGGCATCTGAGAAGTACCATGATCAAATTGCAACCAAGCTCAGAGAGTTCAACGTACAAGGACTTCTTGTTGTTGGTGGCTTTGAGGTAAGCTTCAATTTTCAATCATGTGGATGATGTTTGTTTAACACGTTGATCGCCACAGCAAAGCTGGCCTATTGATTTTCCCATTCAGTGAGGTGCACCAGTGCACCTCATGGTGGTCAACATGTTAAATATTACTAAAGATTACTATTCACATGAAGCACAGTAATCCAACTATGTAGGTTTTGTCCTTTTTTGTTTTTAAAAAATCATCACTAAACAGATTGTCTGTTCTGATTCTGTCAAATTTACTGCTGGTTCTTCTGAATAGAAGAATCAGCAGTAAATTTGAAGGAGGTGAAATTCTTGAGAGTTGTCTCACCTAGTTTGTTTGCTGAAAATTGCTGGAATTTTAAAGTGCATCAAATTCACAAGATCACAAAATGCAGTCTGCCTATGAAATTGCATCCCCAAGGAATTGAGCCATATTAATGAAATTTGTTACAAAAACTTATACTGGTGTTTCATGCAGTGGATTAGAGTTTCAGCTGTAAAGGATGACTCTTCACAGAAAACTTGCAAAATGCCATCATGTAAAGGGCAGGAGCAGGGGTCCTACTAATTGCGCTAAAAAAAACCACCCCAGTATTTTATTTATTGAATGTGGCATAATAACTTCTAATGATGTCTGAGACAATTTGGGTAAGTTCAATGTCATAGGATGGAAGCAAATACTGAGAAAATTTGCTAATGCTCTAGGAATAGAGGAAGAGTGTGGCTTCACTGAATACACTGTTTTCCTTTAATTACTACTTTGCTGTTCTTGAATGCTTGACCTTGCCTTGCCCAGACTACATCTTTGAATTCATTTTCACCAACTTGTTCATTGATATTGGCTGATTGGAATGCATGCACCAATGTGATGCATTGGCCTGACCATGGATGCATAACCATGCATTTGCAACCTGTGCCCTTTGTCCTGAGATACCCCTCATGGCAGGGTAACTTGGGTCACCAATTTGGGACAATCTTAAATCGACATTGATGCCATCGGACCTTGGAAGCATACAGGTTCCAATAACTTAGAGCTAGACCTGGATCCTGTTTGAAGGTCATATTGCAAATAAAAAATGCTTTGAATATGTGTATTTTTTAAGTGTCTCAACATACTCCATAGAGTATTTGGTCTTGATGTTTCCATTCAATAATATGAAACATTCCAAAAAAGACTCAATAGCTTAGTAGCTCCTAGAATAAAGAGGAATCTGCCATTATTATTGAAGTTGCCCACTTCATAGTTGCTTTGTGTCAACCTGATGCATGCTAAGCATCTTAGGTACATTTGCTGCATGACCCAAATCAATCTCTTGCATCATATACTGACATTCCAATTTACCAACTTTGATGAGACTCTTGATCAAGTTGGCAAAATTGAGTTCAGAGATGAAGTCATCACTTCAAAAAAATGAAGTTGCTATCTTCCTCTAGTCCTTGGGCATTCAGCAAATTTTCTCTATTGCCTCATTGGGTAACCTTGAAACTTTCCTTGATATTTGGGACAACAGTTTCCATTCCATTATGAAAGCATTTGTGACATTACCCAATGTACTAATCAACCAGATTTAAATTTCATTCAAGATAATATCAGATAACTTAACTGGTTGCCTTGGTTACATTTGTGTGGAAAATGTTTTGGTGGAGTTCTTGAGCAAAATATGCTAATATAATTTTAAACTGTTTTTAGTCCTTGTACCCCATTGAACGTGAGGTGAGTACACAGTTTAATGAAACTCCTTGTTTTTTTAGAAATTTGTGGACCCTCACCCACCTGCACATATGTTTTTGCAAGTTTTTTCTGTGAATAATCATTCTGCACCCTTGAAACTCTCTATGACACTATGACAGGAGTTTGCAATTTCATCAATGTGGCTTAACTCTTTGGTATTGCAATTTCATTGGTGGATATTATATAATCATTGATGATGGGAATTTACCTTGCCTTTGATGGGTTATGATATGCTGTCACTATCATCAGTAGATCATCCAGACAATGTTGCCTCTCATGCATATTATCTCTCACTGCAGGCATACCAAAGTGTTCTAAACTTGGCTGATGCTCGTCCAAAGTACCAGGAGTTCTGCATTCCAATGATCGTGATCCCAGCAACCATCAGTAACAATGTCCCTGGCACAGAATTCTCTCTTGGCTGTGACACTGCCCTCAATGAAATCACTGAGGTACAGTCTATTCCCTTCCTGCTTTGTATGTCTACATTAGTGTTCATTTCAAAGCCATTGGCAAAGGATGATCCCATTTTCCTTCCTGGCTAGATATGTGATCGTATCCGGCAATCGGCCCAAGGAACGAAGAGGCGAGTGTTTGTCATTGAAACCATGGGAGGCTATTGTGGGTACCTTGCTACATTAGCTGGTGAGTCTCCTTCCTCATTCTACTTGCCCTCCCTCCACCTTTTACCAGTTAGATTTGTATCTCTGACCAGAGGCTCAAGTTCTAGCTTGTGTATTCACAGGACTCCTGGGTGTTCAGAGCCATTTGCTCTCCACTTTTGAGAAAGTTCTACACCTATGAATATTGATTAATAAAAACTGCATAGGATGAGTATCTGGAATTGGGAATGTATGTGCCATTCAAAAAAGAAACAATTGCTCTGAATTATCAGGCTGATATTTGCACTTGCTGTGCAGTAGCCAAACATATCTGTATCAACAATTCAAGCATAAATGGCCAAATGCCAAACTAGTGAAGGGACCCAAGAACCAAAATAGAACTAGTTAAAATTGAATAATAACTAATCAATGCAGCTTGTGAAGCATGTCATAGGAGCATGACAATTAGAAAAGACACTATACACTGGCCATAACTGTAGTATATCCTAGTAGACCTGAGAGATGTTAATGTTTTCTAGATTTTCCTCAGGATGAGTGGAAAAAAAAACTCACCTTATTGATTTTTTCATTTGTGTCCTTCAATTTCATTCTTCATGAAGACAAGAACTGTACATATTTTTCTCTTAATTTTTTCAGTTAGTAAAGTGGTTCATCAGTTGAGGATAGACCCAAATGCATGCCTTGATGTGTAGGTTTGGCAGGAGGAGCAGATGCAGCCTACATTTATGAAGAGCCCTTCCACATCAAGGATCTTCAAGAAGATGTGGCTCATATGGCATCCAAAATGGCTGAAGGTGTTCAACGTGGCCTCATTCTTAGGTATGCCTTTTGGTCATTTCTCTATTCTTTTCTCTATTGTTGTGAGTATCTTAAGGTTCTACATGTATATATGAGAAAGTGCTTGGAGGAATGATTAATATCAATTTCATCAACTTCCATCTGGCTTCTCTATGAGCTAGTAATTATAGGACCTGTTGTACTATGTAGCCATAGAAGCCTCTGATTTCTGACTATTCTGTAACAGAGCTCCTGATTGGATGATTTCTGATGCATCGCGGAGCGTCGTTGGAGTGAATGTTAGGGCTGTTGCTGACATTGCTTATTCTGCTTGAATGATTTAGAATGGCGCCTACATCCCTGGATCTTGTTCGATTTATGAGTCGGCGTGTCATGACACTCTATCCAGAAGAAGCTTGTAGGAATACACTAATTTACATGGAATCACTCTCCTCAGCTTACCTGGCTAGGTCTATGCCAAGGTGCTGGAAAAGAGAGCTCAGGAATTTTTGGCAAAACTAAGACTTGATTTCCTGAGATAAATTTTTATAAATTTTTCCCCTTCTTTAACCAGAGAAGCAAGTTTTGAAAGTTGGGAGTAACATTTTTAGATATCCCAACTGTTGTAAGCCTTTCACCAAAGAAGGGAATCCAGTATGCCTAATCGCTTTCATTTCAACTTGTCTATCATGTCACTTGTGATCATGCAATTGTGTGAGGCAGACAGAGCAGTATTGAAGCATGTTTTCCTGCTATGATTTCATTAACCCTTTGAGGAGTGGGTTTTCTTTTTATGCCTTCAAGATCCCCCATAGTGAATATATGGGGGACAGGAGGACATCAGCTCATATATATACAGGCATACTCTTCAAATGGTTAAAAGTTATTGTGCATTGTGTGAGTCTCAGACTTTCAGGAATTTCCAAATATTTTATTAGCAAACTTTAAGATGCTTAGTTCACTAAACCAGCATAGGGAAAACTCTTTTAAAATTGTACATAATAGGAAACATGTAGATGCATACCTGTTGGGATATACACATTTTTTTTTTAGCTTTTAGAAAATATATTTGAAATTTGAATGTTTTTCTCCAAGGTTTTCATATATTAGGTTGTTCCGAAATAAATGTCCGATTTTCGAAGTGTAATGTTTTGTCTATCATTATACCTGTCAATTTTGCGATAACCAGTTATTGTTATATACCTTTTTTTTCAGCAAACCTTTCTCTATGTAAGCCACTTAGTTGCTTTTTATTTATCTTTAGCCTAACGTTCCTGTAGCTGCCAAAGCGAACGATGGAGAAACGCAACTTTCGTCCGATTTTTCTTTACGAGTTCAAACTTGGAACTAATGCTGCTGAAACGGCGAATAAAATCAACACTGCGTTCAGCCAAGGATCGGTCACGGATCACACCATTCGACGCTGGTTCGAAAAGTTTTGTAACGGAGATGAGACTCTCGAAGAACAGGAAGGTAGAGGTCGGAAAGAGTCTCTTGACGACGCCGTTCTGAAGACTATGGTGGAACGTGATCCCCATGTAACGGTCCGAGAGCTTGCGGAAGAATTGTCTGTTGGCATCGCAACCGTTTCCCGTCATCTGAACGACATTGGAAAGACGAAGAAGATGGACAAATGGGTTCCGCACGAACTCACCGCGAGTAATCGCACTCGCCGATACGAGATCAGCTCCGCATTGCTTCTACGCAACACAAACGACCCTTTTCTCGACCGTATTGTTACGTGCGACGAAAAGTGGCTCCTGTACGACAATCGTAAACGATCGGCGCAGTGGCTGGACCGAGATGAGCCTCCCAAGCACTTCCCAAAGCCAAGCGCTCACCCGAAGAAGACTATGGTCACTGTATGGTGGACTTCAACAGGAGTGGTGCACTACCACTTTCTGAAACCTGGTGAAACAATCACAGCGGAGAAGTACTGTGACGAACTGGACACGATGCACGAGAAACTTCGCAAACTTCAGCCTGCATTGGTCAACCGAAGGGGGCCGATTCTGCTGCACGACAACGCCCGACCGCATGTCGCACATCTCACCGTACGCAAACTGAATCAGCTGGGCTACGAAACTCTGCCTCATCCACCATACTCCCCAGACATATCACCTACGGATTACCACTTTTTCAAACACCTGGATCACTTCGTCAAGGAGAAACACTTCCATGATCAGACCTCTGCCGAAGATGCCTTTAGGGATTTCATCGCCTCCAGAACCCAGGATTTCTACTCAACTGGGATCAACAAGCTTGTATCTCGTTGGCAGAAGTGTGTTGAAACGGATGGTGCTTACTTCGATTAAAAATGTTCATTATCAGCTGAGTTACGACCCTTCAAAGTTTGCGATCGAATTCGGACATTTATTTTGGAACAGCCTAATATCATGCATTAAAGGGTTTAAAAGGCAAGGGTGATTTTATAATTAAAAAATACTATGTTCCAGGAATGAGTTTGCCAACAGCAACTATACAACAGAGTTCCTGTACCACTTGTATTCTGAGGAAGGGAAGCATGTTTTCAGCACTCGAATGAATGTTCTTGGTGAGTCTCAGGTTCCTCCTTTTTTTTTTCTCCCCTCCTAAAGAGGGTTTGCTGATTTAATGAAGCTGATATTATCTCACCCACACAAGGGTTCTTCAATGTTATACTTCAAATGATGCCAATATTGTTGGCTTTGAAGTTCCAAAATTCTATATTTATACATGTTTTAAGATTCAGATATCCTTGAAACATTAAAATTTAGGCCAAATACAAAAAGCCAAAATTAAAGATCCACACATGAACATGGTAATTGCTTCACTATCAATATGTGCATTTCCACCTTTGATGTAAATGATAATACCCAGCCAGGTAGTATTGTGGCAAGACCCATCTGATAATCTTAGATGTTTTGGTTTTGCTGGTCCAGTTCATAAAATTCTTTAATTTATTAAGGTTGGTAGTAATTGGTGACTTTTACCACTAGGAAGGCACCCTTTGCAATATTATTTTGCATGGGAGTGATATGGTATCATGTGATTATGTATGATACTTACAGATCTTGTTATTTCTCTCTTTATATCATTAGATTAATTCAAGTAACAGTGAAAATATTGATAGGCAACATCAACAAAAGTCTGCTGTCCACTGAGCAAATGTCATGGCAAACCTGTTGTTGCACTCTTTTTTACAAGTGAGACAAGCAAAGGGCATATCCTTGAAATGGATAAGGATGGGAAAATTATAAGTATGGAGAGTTGCTGAATGACTTTTTAGTATTACTTGTTGGAAGAGGAAATGACCTGTGGTCTTTCCTTCTTGTTTGTGGATATTGCAAATGTTGACATTCATTTGCAGTCATGCAATATTTTGGCAGTCTAACCTTCCCATTATGAAAAGTGATGGAGAGGAAGATATTCTTTTGTTTGAGAACTCCCATTTACCAGTCTTTCATGGGCTGTAAATAAAAGGCAGGGCTTGTCCTGACATACTTTGTTTACTTTTATTTTTTGGAGTATAAGGAGCCATCTCTCCCCCACAAATTTCAGTTGAAAATTTTTTGTTAGAAAAACCTTCTACTAGGCTAGCAACAAAGAAAGTCTGACCCATCACCTGAGTTCCTGTCCCATTCTCACTCACTGCCCAAATCACTTTACACCCACTCCAACCCCCCACTTAAAATTCCTTCAAGGCCTCAAAATAGAAGATTTTTGGAATTTCCCTATTCTTTTTATTACAGCTTCCTTCCCTTAGTTTATTAGTTTCTTTTTTTTTTTCTTTTTTGTCTACTAACCATACTACTGAGTGAGGAAGAAAAGAAAACTCAATTGCTTTGCTCTTTGAATCAGGACACTTTTGACAGTGAGTTTAGCATCATAATAAGGAAAGGTCAAATTTATTCCTAATACACCTAATGGAACATGAAGACCACGGAGCAGGAGGTGTGCCAAATAACAATGAAAAAAAGTTGCTGTTGTGTTCATCCTACTAATACCTCTTGCTGCAGTGAGATGGAACTGGAAGAAATAGAGGAAAACGAGTGTTCCTGCTGGTTCTTGCTAACATGCATCCTGCAATATAGTAAATGGCCCATGGTGTTGTCTTGTTTTTGTTTTTACTCATTTCACATCCTGCTTCGAAACCTTGTAGCATTGAAAACTTTGAGCCTTTCTTTTTAATGATACATCTCACATCAATGCACTTTCCCATTCAGTGGAAGGATTGCTTTGATATTCTTGGCTTGAGGAATAGTGGAATTTGAGAAATCTGAATTGCAGGGCACATGCAGCAAGGAGGATGTCCATCTCCTTTCGATCGGAACATGGGGACAAAGATGGCAGCAAAGGCCACTGAATGGATGGTGAAGACAATGCAGAGCTGCAGGAGGGAAGATGGGACCATCTTCACAGAAAGCCCCCAGTCTGCTGTTCTCTTTGGGGTTGTCAGGAGGATGTACAAGTATTCCTCTCTTCAGAGCCTCCGCTCCGAGACCAACTTTTCGTAAGTCTTCTTTTGTCCCATTTCTCCCTTTTATCATAACAGGACTGCATGTTTTCATTTTTGATGCAGTCTCTCAGGATGATTGTGGCACATCTTTCCCATTCCACCAGAGAGGTCCTATGGTAATGATAGCTACTTTTGAGAGAAAATAAATTCTGGTCCTCGGCAGTCTTTATTCTGATGTTCCTAAAACTTCAATATTTGCAACTTGTTTCACTGATAGATATACTTAGACTTGTGTTTTTTTCCTTAAACATTGACTTTTTGAGAAATGTCCCTATATGGTGATACTATTATTAGGTAGATCAAGAATCTATTTAATGATATTGAATGAAGCTGACATTTTCCATTGGTTATGTTATGGATATATGTGTAAATGCAGGCATCGGATTCCAAAGCACCAGTGGTGGCTGAAGTTACGTCCATTGCTGAGGATCCTTGCAAAACACCATGCAACTTATGAGGAGGAGGCAGAGATCCTGGAAGAAGGGAGTCTCGAGGATGAGAATGCCATCATTTAAATAGATAGCTTCAATGCTCTCTTTAATCCAGGCAGACCCTGGAGATGTAGTGAATCCCATTTGTTAGCATTTCACACTCTTCTTCTGACATCACCCTTCTTTTCCCCTGCATTTCCCAAGATGTGCATCCATGCTACCCTGGGTGGCAATAGATGCTTGTTCTCATGAATGAGTCTCCTCCCCTTGTAGTTATGCCTTGCTGAAAGGATGATGGGGAAGTATTTGGGAATGTTTCCTACATGTAGTCCTAATCTTACAATTTGAATGGTGCAGAAGAGAGGGAGCAGGTCCTCATTTTGCTGTATCCAATCAAACTATTCATCCTCCCCCCCTCCTTTTTTTTTGTTTGTTGAGTATTTCTAGTAAAGGAAGTCCTGCTTTTCCCTTTAGTATTTTTGATGCAAGTGAATGTCCATAGGCAGGAGGGGAAGTCAGATTATGGAGATGGGCAAAAGGCCTTGCCACAGTTTGAAATTCAGTTGATGGTTGAATGGATTTAATTAAGGTTTGTTATCCCCTTGGGGTAAGCACCAGGTGTTTCAAATGTCGCTTCTGTTTATGTGGCCATGGAGAGCGTATTGTTGAACCTAGAGGTATCAAACTCTGTGGATCAATTAGACAAAGGGAAAGGCAATGCACTCATGTTCATGATATTGCAGGAAAGTGTTAATATATATTAAATGAGGTTACCATTAGTCATATAACCCTAAAGCTCAAAGTCTGCTGGGGTCAGGTCAGGTGATCTTGCAGGCCAGAATCAAAGTTAAAAAATTCAGAGTCTCAAAGTGGTTCAAGGTGTCAGTTGATCATGTGGTCTGAAGAAAGTGGCCTAGAGAATATATTTGGATTTAATTAATTCATTTGGTTCACTATGTGGGGTGGAGCACCATCTTGCATGAAGACTGCTAAATCATTTTATTGGCTTATTGAAAACTGCTTCAGATTTTGCAATGATGGCTTTTATATCCACACCCATGTGGTGTCACTATGATGGGCATTGCCTTCCTCATGGTCAAATTGGTCTGCCTGCCAATTTTCACCACACTGTGGCCAACAATATGAGTGGTGTGGTCATCTTAACAATGATAGTGACTTTTGAAATGTCTAGTTTTTTTTGTTCTGTGAGAACATGCACAGGAGAACAGGCTTGATGGGTTCAATTTGATAGCTTGGTAGCCTTGATTATTGTTTTTCCTGAAACCATTTTGTGTATTCTCTTCTTATTGATAGTAGACTTTTCATAGTTTGACTTCCTCTGCCACCTCTCACATGTAGTTTGTGCCAGAAATTGGCATGCCATGACCTTTATGGGTGTCCAAGTTTTCTGCATTGTTTGGCCTTCACTTGTGGCTCCAAGTCACCCTAAACTACTAGTTTGTACTATTTTACCACATCAGAGCTATTGGAGTTAGGGGGTGAACTCATCAAGGCATAGAGTAACAGCTCTGCAGTTGTAGTCTCAATAATATACACTCACTACTCTCAGTAGTAAAACTTTGCTTCAAGTATTCATGGGTAATTGGGAAATTGTAGGATTCTGTTACATTCTAGAGGTCAGGCTGAATCAGGAAAAGTGGCCAATAGATCCTCATTCTCAGTGTTTGGCTGTTCAAATCAGCTGAGTTTCAATTGGGATGAAAGAGTGATGCAAAAAAGATGCAGCCATAGAGAAAATAGCCACTCCCAAGTGACCCTTATGTAGAACCCTATATAAATGCTTTTCAAGAAGAAAGACTACGCTTCCAGTTTGAAATACTAGATCCAAGTTGTAGTATGGTGGAGTTCTGAGATAAGTAGAGTATTGGTGTAAATTTTTTTTGTAATTCAAACTGGAACTGTTCTGCAAATAGGAAGGGGAAATGTTGCATGAAAGTATTGACTCCTCAGAATCTCAACAAAAGACAACTCATTTCACGTTCTAGTCTGTTTGGGTTAGACTCCCAATCATGTGATTGTCTCTCTTTAGAGCCAGGGATTGTTGAGTTTCCCGTTTTGTTGTGTGGGAGGTTTTTTTTCCCCACATTCCCTTTCATTCTATTATTTTGGTTCCCTATAGCTAGTCAGTTATGCTGTGAACAAGGGCTTCGAAGTGGAAGAAATATCTGACCTGCCTTGCTTCAAAATGAAAAGAATGCTGTATTTCAAAAGCATTCTTTATAGTGGGAAGTAGTAAACATGATGTGATAATTATGATTCAGCTGAGTTGTATAATAGCCACCCTTGACTGTGGGTGATTGCATAGAAATTTGTCGCTGGATAGATAGTCTCATGACTGAATCCATGTGCAATGAAATGTACTACTTCATTTTTATTATTGTAAAACTTTTGAAAAAAGGAATTTTTATTCCAAATCCATATTATCAACTGTGGAGCAGCAGAGAATCTGATAGCCACACAGATATAATTTCAGTTTCCTGTCTGCATGTTCATCTTGTCATCAGTTCCAGTTCTGCATCTAGTTTTGGATTTTTCAAGTATTCTTGCCGTTCGAAGCCCTGGTTGTAAATCTTTGAATCTAGGAATCTCATGTTGTGATAACTGTGCATTGGCTTGTCTTGTGTTGTTTCTCTCGGTCACTCTTCCCTCCAACCCTTCCCTTCTCCCATCGTCTTGTGACTCTCATCAATAAACATTTCTCTTGTCAATCTCATTGAATGTGGTTTTTCTTCTCCTTCCACTCCACTCCCCCCATGTAACAGGAGACCCGGAGGAATATGTACATATATATATACATTTTTGATACCACTCTTCCCAATTCAATGGAGTCACGGTTCGAGCATGCCCAGGAACGTCCTCCAATGATCTCGATTGTGCCCAAAATCGAGATCATTGGAGGACGTTCCTGGGCAACAGACTCAAACTTAGCTGGTGGAATTCCGAGCCTCTCGTGACAAAACCGAGCGACGTAATCACTCCACCTTGTACGAGGTATACCGACAGGTCTTTTGCCGGCCATCTTGGCCTGGAAGACTTCTTGGGAGTCTCTCTGGGGCATGCGGCAGACATGTCCAAACCACCTGGCCTGGGTCCTCTCGATCCTGAGAAGCAGCTGCTCGACGGCTCTCGCATCCGATCAAGGTTCGTCACGCCAGCCGCTCGATGCAAGAACTTCATTTCGGCAGCTTGTATCCGCAATCTGGTTCTTTCGGTCATTACCCAAAGTTCATGACCATAGGTGAGGATGGGGAGATAAACTTAAAAACCGAGAGTTTTGCTTCCCTTGAAACTTCCGATCTTGCTACCACGGTTCGCCAAAGTTCTCCCAGAACTGCAGAAGCCTTGGAGATGCGGTTATCGATCTCGTTTCCATTCCGCCCATCATTCGAGAACCACACCCCGAGGTACTTGAACTTCTCTACCTGTTCCAGTGGGACCCCACTGACATGCAGGGTGCACCGAGCAGGATTTCTCGAGAGGACCATGACTTGTGTCTTGGAGACGCTCGGTTTCATTCCGGCTGCAGTGCATTCAGAGTCGAACCGATCGAGCACGCTCTGGAGCTCCTGTCGAGAACGGGTCAAAAGGACGGCATAGTCGGCAAAGAGAAGTATCCTTGCCGTGACGTCACCGATGTTGCCCCCCCCTCCAGGTCGAGGCTGCGCCTACAGATCCTGTCCATGTACACGAGAAACAGGAAAGGAGAAAGGACACTACCCAGCCGGAGTCCAACGCGTACCAGAAAACGATTCGAACTCTTCCCGATCACTCGAACGGATCTCCTGCATTCGTTGTATAGGGACTGAGCGTCCCGCAGTAGCTGACCCTTGATCCGATACTCCTGCAGCACCCCCCACAGCTTCCCTCGGGGGCACACGGTCGTACGCTTTTTCGAGGTTTGCAAAACACATGTAATCTTATTTGGCGTACTCCCAATGTCTCTCTCGGATCAGGTGGAGAGTGAACAGCTGGTCCGTGATGCTGCGTCCTTCACGAAAGCCGCACTGCTCCTCTCGGATGGCTTCACCCACAACTGCCGAGCTCTCTTTTCCAGTACCTTGGAATAGACTTTGCCAGGTATGCTGCGGAGAGAGTGATCCCACGGTATATCGTGCACTCCCTCGGGTCCCCCTTCTTAAAAAGAGGAACCACCACACTGGTTTGCCAATCCCTGGGAGCGTAGGACCTCGTCATGCTACATCCAGGCCTATCGGTCGGCTTACCACCGGCCATTGCGTATTTTTGGCACAATGCCCCAAGGGAGGAATTTGTATATTTTCTTTATTGCTACTCACAGAGGTAAGAGATGAAACATAATCGTGCCAGGAGAGCATACGACGAAACATACGATTGAGAATGTGGATAATCGATTGACATTCTCGTGTGTTTCGTCTTATTGGAATAGGACTGAATGTTTTCTCTCTGGATGTTTTCAGGCTATATGCAGGATTTTTCCGGAATTAGGGTGTGAAACAAATGTCTCTAGACCTACAACGTCTATCTATACATTCCTTCATAAATAATGCGAGGTGCCCATCCATTCATCGGAAGGCACAGTAGTGCTGTACAACTAAAAATCGAATGGCCATTTCTTATACAAATTTCCGTGCGACATTACGGTCGCACTAATGCCTCGTCCACACTAGAAATCTTTCTATCGGAGGCGTATTTTACGGGGAGGGGGAGGGGAGGCGGGCGGTCGCCTCCCTTAGCGTGCTTTTGGAGGTAATAATCTTCTCCCTTTATATCGCTCGGGTGGCGTTAGGCGCCACCTGCAAATCGACTTGCAACGAAAAATTGCATAGAAAACTCTGGTGTTGACGAGGCCTTAGGCATGGACTTCAAAATTAGTGCTATCCTCCTCTCGCAAAGCTATCAGAGTCCAAAAAGTTTCTTTCGTTCATGTGGAGACCTGAAAGTATCTGATTGGAAAGAAAGTTCTCGGAATTTCATGAACAATTATTATATCCATAGTTTGCATAAACGTTGGCGTGAAGTGATACAGGCCAATGGTGATTGCATTCATGATTGAGATGATTTTGCCAAGAGACCAAAGGTAAAAACTGCGAACCGATCATAGTAGTTGAGGTGACGTTAGACTTGTCTCGCTCTGAGGGTGCGCATATTTTCGAATTTAGGTTTTTTGCTGAAATGATATGCATTTTGATTACCTCAAATACTAACGTATCACTAAAATAACTAAGACGTACTTCATACCTAAAACGCACAGAAACCACTGAATCTAATTTAAAAAACGAGATTCCGTTGGACTCGTGCTAGAGTATCATCTTGCAATGAAAGTTATATCCTCAAGTCAGCTGTGAATTACAATTGCACTAGCGGCCGCTACGCTGGCCGTCTAATAGGTGGAAATTTGAATCGTCTATTGTAAGCGTAACGTCTCCATGACAATCCTCTGTTCATCGCATTACCCATTCGGAACTGAACCGCTTCATTACATTTATACATATAGCTTACAGTACACAGAGAGATTCTGTTCCTAAACACCATCATCATGATATTCGAGCTGATTGTGGCAATTGCCATTGTGAACGCCTCGGTTTAGCACGTTTTCATGAGACTCAAGACGACATTGCTGATTTCGCCTTCCTTCGTTCGTTAAAGAGCAATTGCTTATAAAGCAAGTGATCGGAAGTCTGGAATTTGGTCACACACCCTGGAAACGGAAGCGCACGGATATACTAGAGAATTGAAACTGTGTGTCATATTTACATTAACTGAGACACCCTCACATTTCTTTGAAGATTTGATTCGTTCCCAATCTCCATTCGGTAAACCGTTGCCAGGCGTGTTTCAGCTAGATAGCATGACATCAGCTAGGTAGAATTACTTCAATAATAAAAGTGACATTCGACCTTCAGGCATTCTGCGATTTGTTTTTTTTTTCTACCATACGTCTTTCGACATAAGCAATTTCGGCAGTACAACGTTCAACGAAATGTCCATTCTACAAAATGGCATTCGAGGTTTTGTCACCAACTCATTTATTTTAGAACTTGTTACGCATGTATTGTGGTAGTACCTATTCTACACATAGTCACCACCCAGGTTGAGACATTTTTCCCATCGAAGAACCAGCATTTCCATGACATCCTCATAGCATTCCGTGTCCTGTGCGCGTAACCACTCTTGAACCGTTTCTTTAACCGCAGCATCGGTAGTGAAATTACGTCCGTCGAGGTGTTTCTTCTAAGCCCCGAACAGAGGGAAGTCGCTGGGCGCGAGATCGGGACTGTATCGGGACTGGATGATCGTGGACCCGCCAGACACAAGAGTTGTTGAAGAGGTTTGGGTGGGAAGTACTCGCAGTCCTGATCGAGCGCCCAGCGTGTTCAGGAATAAGAAGAAACACCTCGGCCTGATTTCAATGCAGATGCTGCAGTTCAAAATGGTTTTCGAGAGCGATTACACACACAGGACACAGAATTCTATGAGGATGTCATGGATAAGCTGGTTCTTCGATGGGACAAAATGTCTCAACCTGGGTAATGACTGTGGAGAAATATTGTAGGGTAGGTACTACCGCAATACATGCGTGACAGGTTCTAAAATAAATCGTGTTCACAACTACGGGCCTTGTCTTGCTACTTTCCGATCATTCCTCGTATTTAGGGTATCTTTTAACAGAAATTCACGTTAGCAACACGCGAGGAAAGTACATGAGGAGTATCAACTTAATGTTTGGGATAATTGAAGGGACCCATTGTTGTAACTTACAAAACCATTCTTTACGCCGGTTTTACGGCCGTTCTCAACAGAAACATGGCGGACAGCGAACAAGTAGAATGGTTAAATTATAAGTTCTCCACAACCCATTGACAATGCATGGGGGTATCACGCAGCACACTCGATAGAGTAGGAAGATCCTATGAGGACGGGGAGGCCAGCCTCACTGTAGTGCGCATGAACAGGTGCCTGCCACGTTTTTTTAGACCTTTATCCTCAAGTAGAGAACTGCTCGGTCATCCGAATTCGCATTGGTATTTATATCTACGAAGTTGCTAAGGATGGAAAAGTCACAATATATATTATTCAGAATCATGATATTCGCTAGGTGAGCTGGATGCGATTTTGTTTGGAAGAAGTTCTGAAACTCGCAAGTCGTCGAACCGATACTTATCTCCTCGGGCCGGATGTGTCTCTATTCTCAAGTGTTCAAGAAGTACAGGCTACATTTTCTCTCTGTTTTCATACAATTTCGATTCAATATACAGGGTTTATCAGAATAGACTCTCCGAATTTTGTTGCTCATAACTTTATAACTAAAATTGACAGAAACGTGATATTGAAAAAACATTCCTCTGACTATTCTTTATTTTTCAGCAATAACATCAGGATGAAACCATTTTCGAACGCCTTCAAACTGTTCACCTTGTACATCGAGACATTCTAGACAGCGCCGGGGGAATGACTGAATGTGCGATGAAACATTTTCATAGGTATCGCCTCAACTTTCCCTTCCATGCGTGTATATGATTTTCCAATACTTTTGAGCTTAGTCGTTAGATAACTGCCTTTAAATATCCTCAGAATCAATACTCAGCAGCAGGATCGGCCTGGCCCACCGGAATACAGGGAAATTTCCCGGGCGCCCCCCAGACCTGATAAAAATGATAAGTGGAATTATGGTGAACAATAATTGCAACTAATGACCATGACTGATATTGATTCAATAGCACTGCCAAATTGTAC